TTAAAAAATTCAAGAAAGTATTAAAGAAAACAACTTTAAAGAAAGAGACATAATCCCTGAGGCAAAATGGTCCTAATATCACACTCACTTCTCGTCACAGCCCCTAAAAATAAGCCCCAGTATTTTACTCCGACCTTGTTATCATGGCCGACCTCCCTCTCCTCTGAGGTAATGTCTATAAATCTGGGCATCCAGTGTGCTTTTGTGCCACATGTCAGCTATTAGCAATGGTATTTTTCCTGACAGCTAATTGGTAACATTAAAGAAAAGAAATGGAGAGCATCGTGCTTTGCAGAGTCATTTTACACCATTAGCAGCAATAAGCATTTTATGAGGGACATGGCACTGCCTGGGAATCAAAAGGACATGCTTTTCACCCTATTTGCCAGTAAAATGAGCAATGAGAAAATGAAATCCATACCTTGGGTTTACTTGGGTTTATTTACAGGACAGCTGAATTCGTGACACTTCTGTGCCAGAAGATTCTCTCCAAGGAACACTTGTGCTGAGGGAGTCCTCGGAAGCAGGCAGACATCTAGGGAGCCTCCCCACCCCATCCCCTCGCCCCGACCCGGGGCAGCCTGTCCCTTACCTTTCCTTTTGGTTGTGTAAAATCCAACAGCTGATCCCTCCCGCCACAGAATCTTTGCTTGCTCCTTCACAGAGTGAGGTAAAAAAAACATGTCACCGTCTTCCAAATTTCTCTCCAATCTTCCAAAAATAACGACGTTTAGAATGAAAAGCACAATCCTTTCCCCAAATGACCGAACCTTTGAAGGGAAAAAAAAAAAAAAGAAAAAGAAAGAACACGCAAATGAGAGAGGACAATCACATCCGATAAATTTTGCTCTTGGAATTAACCCACACATCGGGGCCAGGTGTGTGCGCCACCATCACACGATTCCTTTCATGCTCAAGAGCCAAAATGTGAACCATAGTTTCTCACCGGGGTTTTCACAACCCTGACCTTTCACACCCATCGGTCTCCAGGAGTGAGGGGCAGTGCCAGAGGGGTCTCCCAGGTTCCCTCCCGGGCCACCTATATGGAATGTAAGTAGAGAACAATCCACTGTAGGTCAACAAAACAGTAAGTTACCTGCGGGGGGGGGGGGCATGCAAGCCATTTCAGCAGATCCCCTGGATGTGTCTAGAAATAAATCCAATCTGCCATTTTTAATAACAGTCCCAGAATTCTGGCCCTCAGAAGAATGGTTAAGAATTGGGGGCATCAAAAAAAGAATTGGGGGGATCAATGGCTACATCAGAAGCAGATGATTTTCAATGGTTCGTGATGTGGTGGATTTGGAGCACACACTACAGTCCCAATCCCAGAGAATTACCAGGAGTCAAGGGCCATCTTGTTCTAAGGCTATAAAATGAAACCACTTCTTGCCTCCCACAATGTCATGACAGGTGAGGAAACTATGTGGTCAGGGTCAGGCCCACACAGAGCTTTAGCATTAACAAGTCAAAATGACTTCATGGTCCCGCCTGTTAAAATTTTCTGCATTTGTATAGCCCACAGGTGGCAAATATGTGGCATAAACGGAGACCTCCAGCTCCGGCACCCACGGCAGACATAACTAATCAATCCTACTCTCTGTGGCTGAGCCTGGACATGGTCACAGAGTCCTTCTAAATGCATTCCTCCAGACAACCACAAGCCAGCACTAAATGTGATTCTTCAGATGAACCTAGCCAACTATTGATCAAGTGACAGTATTGTTTTATTAAATTTTAACTCTGACAAGATTTCTATGTGACAGCCTGCTTGTGTGGGCATTTGTCACCCGTCCTATGCATCACCACGAGATCATCAATGCCATTAAATGGGCTGTGACTTCCACCCACAAGCTAGCATTTGAGTCTCTTACCCGCTGGGGAGGTCCTGATTTATAAGTAAGGAAATTGAAACTCAAGGAGGGTAAGTGATTACATTTATTGATTTCCCTGCCTTATTCCAAAGAGGACTTATGACAGCTGGATGAGGGCTCTGTCAGAGGTAGGCAGGCTCAAAACAACAGGCTAGGGCTTCTGAGTCCCAGGCTGGTGCACCTGCGACAGCCCAGCCCGTGGTTGCCTTCTGCATCTTCAGCCATTACAACCAAGGCTTTGGAAAAGGGAAGTTTAATATAAATATCTACACTTAGTTTTATATTGAATACTTAATCCTTAAAGTTTTATCATCATCATCATCATCATTTGTGACTGTGGCTTCTTAGCCTGGATTTGCTGAAAGATCTTTAGCAATGCCAACTCTCTGAGCCTCAGTTTCTTCCACTAATCAGGGGAGAAGTTTGCCTGAGTCGTCCTTAAAACACTTGTTTTTGGGGAAGGATGGGTAAAAAAAAAAAAACACTTGTTTTCAAATGCTCTAATAAAAAATAAGGCAGCTTGCTGCCCTCTTGCAAATGGCACAAAGTGTTTGGTGCCAATAAATTTATTAATTGGTCCAGAATGTAACAGTTCACCTTCATCTGGAGCCAAATCTTAAATGAGGAAACGCCTTGTGAAAACCACACCACCTCAGCTCTGAGAAGCCACCCCAATTTTGTATTTCAGACAGTAGTAGCCAAATCCAGTTCAGCTGTGAAGAATCACTAGCTGGTCACAAAACCTGAGTGGGGTGATGTGGGAGGTTATATTTTTCAACTTATAAAACCAAAAAGTTCAGAGGAAAGCCAGAAGAGAAAAGCAGATTGCATCTGGCAGAAAGGAAATATCCAATCAAAAACTGGCAGGAGAAAAAGGAGAAAAGAAAATGCACTTAATTTATCCAATTTCATTACGGGGGGGGGAGGGTCGGGGCAGGGAGAAATGTGTGATTCTGACTTAGAAACGTTTCTGGAAACACAAAACCAAGATCCAGTTCTAATCCCTCAATTAGGACCACTAATTATGTTAACAGAAAGAACATTGAGGCTTTTTTTTTTTTTTTGCTAATTTATGAAGAATAGCTGGCTAAGAAACAAAATGTAATTAAAAGAAAAAAAAAGCCAAGACCCCATATTCTACAGATGGAGAGGGAAACTATCTCCCTAGATGGGGCAGATCGATCTTTACAACACGGTTCATTAAGTGCAAGTAGCATCCAAGTTTCTTTCTGTCCATAACATAGGCCACATTTTCAGAAAATCTTGGGTTTCCCTCATCTAAACACGGAGGAATTGACACACAGAAGAAGTGACCACTCTTGTTCTGGGGGAAAAAAAAATTTATTTAAAGAGCAAGTCAGACTCCTCCTGGCATTCAGAACCCCCAACCACTAACCTCTGGCCCACCTGTGGGAAGGGACCAGAACAGCAAGACGAATGAGTACGCCAGGCCATCCCACTGGGTACCCCACACTGATTGGCTGAATCTCAAGCCACTGTTAAATTTGCTGGGGGTGGGAGGAGGGGACACTTTTAAAAAACAGTATCTACTGCGTCAATTAAAACCAGACCTGAGGGCGCCTGGGTGGCTCAGTCGTTAAGCATCTGCCTTCGGCTCAGGTCATGATCCCAGGGTCCTGAGATTGAGCCCCGCATCAGGCTCCCTGCTCAGCGGGGAGCCTGCTTCTCCCTCTCCCACTCCCCCTGCTTGTGTTCCTTCTCTCGCTATGTCTCTCTCTGTCAAATAAATAAATAAAATCTTTAAAAAAAAAAAAACAGACCTGAAAATATCCTGCTGTTTGCAACAATATGGATGTAACTAGAGGGCATTATACTAAGTGAAATAAGTCAGGCAAAGACAAATACTGCATGATCTCACGTGCATGTGAAATCTTACAAAACCCAACTCATCGGAACAGAGAATAGAATGGTGATTACCAGAGGTTGGGGGTGGGAGAAGAGAGATGTCGGTCAAAAGGTACAAACTTCCAATTATAAGATGAATAAGTTCTGGGAATCTAATATACAGCAGGGTAATTATAGCTAATAATACTGTATTATATTAAAGTCGCTAAGAGAGTAGATCTTAAATGTTCTCATCACAAAAAAAATGGTAATTATGTAATATGATGCAGGTGTTAGCCAACACCATGGTGGCCATCATTTTGCAATATTAAGTATTTCAGATCAACATCTTCTATGCCTCAAATTTACACAATGTTTATGTCAGATATATCTCAATAAAGCTGGGGAGGGGAAACAGGCATGAAAAAGACAACCCACAGATGGGGAAACAATATTTGCAAATCAAATATTGCAATATATGCAATAAGAACTTGCATCCAGAATCTATGGAAAATGTTTACAACTCATCAGTGAGACGTCAAATAACCCAATTAAAAAGTGGGCCAAGGATTTTAATAGATATTTTCCCAAAGGGGATATACAAATGGCCAATAAGTACACGAAAAAATGTTTAACCCCCCTAGCCATCAGAGAAAAGCAGCTCAAGACCACAATAAGATACCACTTCCCACCCAGTAGGACGGAGAGCATTAAAAAAACAGACAATAACAAGTGTCAGGGAAGACATGGAGAGATGGAAGCCATCAGATGTTACCAGTGGGACTGTTAAACGGTACACCTGCTGTGGAAAATAGTTCGGTGGTTCCTCAACAAGTTATATAGAGAATTACCATATGACAAGCAATTCCGCTCCTGGGTATATACCCAAGAGAACTGAAAACATATAAGCTCACAAAAACTTATGCACAAATGTTCATAGTGGCATCGTTCCTAATGGCCAAAAGGTGGAAACAACTCATGTGTCCATCTACAGATACATGGATAAACATACATGCTGTAGCCATGCAGTGGGATATGATCCAGCCATAAAAAGGAAGGAGGCTCTAACACATACTACAATGTGGATGAACCTTGAAGACATTATGCTCAGTGAGAGAAGCCGGACACAAAAGGCTACATATTATACAATTCTAGGGATGCAAAATGTCCAGGATAGACAAATCCATAGAGACAAAAAGTAGATTCCTCGCCAGGGGCTGCGGAAAGAGGGAAATGAGGGGTGACCGCTGATGGGTAAGGGGTTTCTTTTTGGGGTGATGAAAACATTATAGAATTCAATAGTGGTGACTGATGCACAACTCTGCAAATACTGAAAATCACTGAACTGTACACTTTGAAAGGATGAAATTTATGGTATGTGAATTATATCTCAATGAAGTTGTTGTTTAAAGGGAAAAAAACTGAATTTGTTTTTGTTTTTGTTTTTTTAAATTGTTCAAGAGAAGGAAAAAACCCAGATTATCAATTCGTTCTCTAAACCAAACCCAAAAGAATACTGATACTTCATTCAGTATTTGTAGGTCCCAATGAGGGAGATCAAGTGGAATTCCAAACAACTGTGGACAGATCCACCATTTCAAGACTACCAAGAAGCACCTATGGAATTAAGATAAATATGCCAATCAAATGAAAATGGACAGACGTGAGGCAAATAGTCTAAATTCTTCACTAGTTACTACCTTTCTCGTCAGCTGGTGACCCAGCCAAACTGCACTTGAGCAGACACCACAGGGACTCTGAGGAGCTGCTGTGGCACCTGCCCTCACCCCTGCCATCCTAGGTTTTGGCTTTACAGTGGCTCCATAAAGCCACAGCCCATTAAAGACCTCCAGGGCTGACATCAACGAGACTGGAGTTTGTCTCCAGTTCAATCACTCTCTAGCTGTGTGGCTCAGCCTCAATTTCTTCATCTGCAAAACAAATACTTTGAGGATTCTAAAATTAGATAATCCCTATAAAGAGTCTGAGGACATAGGCGAGCACCTAACACAATGTCCGACTCAGAGTAAGTACCAAAAAACATTACTTGGACGCAATAGGCAAAATTTTCCTACACACTAGAGAGACGATGGGGATTTAAGTTTTAAAACGAAAACATGAGAGGCCACTCAGGAAGGTTAAGAGAGATCTGCCAATAGCCTGATGTCTGTTGCATAGAGCCTTTTATTACTATTTTCCTTACTGGCAGGGCATTCTAGATTTAATCTCATCCCCCAGAAAGATGTTGCAAGCCCTAACGCCCAGTACTTGGGAATGTGACTTATTTAGAAATAGAGTCTCTACAGATGATCAAGTGAAGATGAGGTTATTAGGGTGGGCCCTAATCCAAGATGATTGGTGTCCATATAGAAAGGGGGGATCTGAACACAGAGAGAGACCCTCACTGAGGGAAGATGATGTGAAGACATGGGGAGAAGGCCATCTCCAGGCCAAGGAACGCCTGAGGCCCCCAGCAGCTAGGACAGACACCTGAAACAGATTCTCCCTCATGGCCCTCAGAAGGAACCCTGGTTTCAGGCTTATAGTCTCAGGGCCTATGAGACAACACATTTCTGCTGTTTCAGCGCCGCCCCCCACCCCCACCCCGTCGGTGAAACTTTGTTTCAGCAGCCTTAGAAGATTAATCCACCAAGGCAGACTGCTTTCAATTATTAACATGATAATAAGCACAGTGACTTTAAAACCTGTTTTGCACTATTTCAGTCTACACCACCTCACCTTCATCAGACCTTCTCTGGCAGGATCAGAGGTTCGTAGGACGTCTTCAGTGGGCCACCAGGACTCCTTTATGTAAACAGCCACCACTAAAGAGAAAGCCAAGAGAAAATGATGATATGCGCACAGCCAGCCAGCCACTAGAGGGGCGGTTTCACCAGCCTGCAGCTACTGTCAAGGTGCACGGATAAGTATGTGTGGGTAAAGCAGGTGATGTTTCTAGAGATAAGTTCTCCAAGAGCACTGACCAGGACAGAGTGACCACTCTCACCTGAAGGTCTTCACAGAGGTCTTCGCAGATGGCCCATTCCCTCCTCCAAAACAGTAGGTTACGTGTCCCGATGTTATTGGGCAAAAAGCGCTACACACCAAATTCGATGGAAAAGAATTACATCTTTTTGTTCCAAAGTCCAGTTATGTGCCACAACTCAGAACTCCCCACGGAGTCAAATCCAACATTATTGAAAGCCATCGAGCACAGAATCTTTCTCTTTTTTTAAGATTTTATTTATTTATTTGAGAGAGAGAGAGACCATGAGCAGGCACAGGGACAGAGGGAGAGAGAGAGGCAGACTCCCCGCTGTGCAGGGAGCCTGACGTGGGGCTCGATCCCAGGACACTGAGATCATAAGATGAGCTGAAGGCAGATGCTTAACCAACGGAGCCACCCAGGCGCCCCTCGAGCACAGAATCTTCTTATCGCCCTCAGCACTGGGCCTGGTACTGGCTTCTTTTCCATGATTTTTTTTTCCCTTCCCACAGTGATACTGCCACCTGCGTTTTTCTGAGGAGGACACCGACACTCTGAGAGGTAAAGTAGCCTGAAGGCAGCCGGCGAGGGGGGACTGAGGTGGGTCCACCCCTGAGCCATGGACTCCAAGTGTGGTGCTCTCTCGCAGAGGCCAGAGCTGAGTCAGCTGTTTGGAAGTGGGGTGAATCATGCAAGGATGGCGGGAGTGCCTTTGAATAAGGATGCTCTGGGGCTGGACCTGCAGGAGAAGGAAGAGAGACATCTCTCCCCCCCCTACTCCTGCCCCAGCCCAATCTAGACAGTCCCTGAGGCCTGTGGATTCTGCCCATTCCATGTTGGGCAAGGGTCCTACTATTGTAGGGGTGACGTTGGAACAACCTCAACCTCACTAAGCCCCAGGCTCCTCATCAGAGTTGCCCAAACTGATCACCCAAGGTGGCTGACAAGTTCCAGTGAGGACTGGGTGTCAAACACCCACCACAGGGGCGGAGCAAGATGGCGGAGGAGTAGGAGACCTAGATTTCGTCTGGTCTCAGGAATTCAGCTGAATAGGGATCAAACCATTCTGAACACCTACGAACTCAACAGGAGATCGAACAGGAGAGTAGCAACAACTCTCTGAACAGAAAAGCGACCACTTACTGGAAGGTAGGGCGTGCGGAGAAGTGAATTCGAGGCGATATTCGGGAGGATAGACGGCGGGGGAGGGGCCTCCGCCGGCCGCTTCTGGCAAGTGCTAGAGCCGCGGAGCACAAAATCAGACCTTTTAGAAGTTGGCTCGGCGGAGGGACGTCGCTGCAGTGGCTAAGCGGGAGATGGAATCCTCCCGGGACAGTGTGGTCTCAGGACCCTTGGGGTCACGGAGAGACCGGGGGTGCCTGAGTGCGGCAGAGCTCCCAGGTATCGGAGCGGGGAAGCCGGCTGCAGAGACGGAGCAGAGTCGCGGGCTCTCAGCTTGGGGTTGCCATAAACTGTGATCTGCGGCCCAGTCGGGGCACGGCTCCCCCAGCAGGGACCCAACAAGCAGCAGATCCGGGGAGACTCCCCTTCCTTCCCGGGGAGGAGCGGTGCGGGAACGCACTGCAGGGATCTGCTGGGTTTGGAGACTCCGTGCGGGGTCGGGTGCCAGAGATAGCAACGCTCGATCACAGGCCGGGAGAGCACGGAGTGCGGCCGGAGACCGGGGACACGGGAGTGACTGCTTTTCTCTGGGGACACACTGAGGAGCGGGGCCCCGAGTTCTCAGCTCCTCTGGGTGGAGATTGGGAGGCCACCATTTCTGCCCTGGTCCTCCAAGGCTGTACGGAGAGCTTGCAGGGAACAAAAGCTCCTGAGAACAAACCCGAGCAGCTTGCTTAGCCCGGACCGACAAGGGCGGGGCAATTCCGCCTCCGGCAAAGACATTTGGAAACCACAGCAACAGGCCCCTCCCCCAGAAGATCAGCACAAACAGCCAGCAAGCCAAGACCAAGTTGATCGATCAAGGAGAATGGGAGAACTCCAGCGCTAGGGGAATACTGCACATAGATTCATGGCTTTTTTTTTTTTTTTTTAACATGATCTATTATTTCATCAAAGTTAATTTTTGTTGACTGTTTTTTTTATTTTACTTTTTCCCTTTTTCAACCAACATCTTATCAATCCCTTTTAAAAAAAAAAAAAAACATTTTTTATTTTTCATTTTTAGAGTCATATTTAATCCCTTCATAGTAGTTACCCTTATTTTTGGCATATATATATAAGTTGTT